AAGCCTTTAATATTCCAATATTCTTTTTAAGCATCCAACAGTGAGATAGAATGTGCAACAGTTTCCAAAATCATTTCACTTTAGAAATCCCATTTCAAACAGGGCTATTCAAAGAACATTTTGGAAAATACTGTGCTATACTACGCTTGCTATCTCTACCACAAGGTATAGGCAATATTCAAAAATAATTTCAAAGGAGGGTGTGATTCACTGGAAGTAGAGTAGAAAAATTAAAAAATTTTATGGAGAAGGAGGCTTTGTACCAGGTCTGGGAAAATAAATAGAATTTAAATGAGTAAAAAGATGATGTTCCAGGCAGGTAAACAAATATAAAAAGGCATATACTGACACTACATCTCTGTGAAACATTGACCAGTAAAGGATTAAAAAAATGTTGCATGGGATTAAAAAAAAAAAAAGTGCCTGGGTGGCTCAGTTGGTTAAGCTTCCAACTTTGGCTCAGGTCATGATTTAATTATTAATGGGTTCGAGGTCACGTCAGGCTCTGTGCTAATAGCTCAGAGTCTGGAGCCTGCTTTGGATTCTCTCTCCCTGTCTCTTCCTCTCTCCCCACCACACACTTACTCTCTCTCTCTCTCTCTTTCAAAAATAAACATGAAAATTTTTTTGAAAAATAAATTTTTTTTGAAAAATAAAGCATGGGGCTTTAACATTATGACGTTCACCTCTAAACCAATATTGAATCCCCCATTGCTTAATGTTATGGGTGTGGGCTGGGCAAATGCTTTGGAACTGTGTGGCCAGATTGTAAAAAGCTTCAAAAGAGAGAGAAAAAGAATCGCTCTTCATTAATCCATTAATTACCCATTAATCCATTAATCCATTACTTGTCATTAATCCATGGGACACCTGCCTCCTCTCTGCCAAGCTGAGGTTGTAGGATGTATGTGTGGAGAAGGGTGCCGAAAGGGAAGGTACCTCAAGAGCATCTGAGTTAGACATTACATTTTGAACCTAGCGTATGTCTACTCTAGCAGTCTATCTGCCTCTCATCAAGCAGGTTCTCCTCTCCTATCTTGTCCACTTTTTTTCTTTCATCACAGCTGCACTATTTTGGGTCATACAATATGCAGGAGACCTACCTCTCACTTAGACCTCCTAAAATATTATTTACATCTAATATTTCATTTGTTTAGCAATGATATAAAGCCAAATATATTCTACTAATACAGATGGTAGGAAAATATAAAGAAAATTCCTTTTAGAGTAAATTAAGAGTGATGATTATTTGATTCTCTCTCTCTCTCTCTCTCTCTCTCTTTTTTTTTTTTTTTTTTGGTTTCTAATCAAATTTCAAGAAGCTTAATTTTTGTAAAAACTTAAATTTAATTGTTAGGTAATGACAATATTTCTCTGGATACATGAGCATTTTGCAATCCTTGTGAATTACGATTGAGGTTCAGGGGTTCAGTAACTGTTAACAGCTCCTTCTTTTATTTGTACACAACCTTTTATTTGTACACAAATTTGTATACAATATTCCCTTGAGAAGGAATATTGTAGCAAAGTTAAGAATGTGGAATAGATTCCTGTTTTAATAAATGAATTGGAAATTACTTATGTGGAAATATTTGATCTTTCCTCTAGTTTATACATAGCCGACAGTCTTAATGGGATTATCCTCACCCTATGTTTGATATTTTTGACTAATAGCTTTCTTTGATTATGGAAGACAATGAAGTTTTTGGTAAAGTTTATAAGAATAAGTACAAGAATGCCTTTCTCAGAGTTAGACACTGAATGTGGTTTCAGTAACCAGCTTATAATATTTGATAGTATGATGTCTACATACTACACTAAATGCTCTTTCAAAGCATATGAAAGTATATTTACATCATATCTACCAAAATGTTGATTTATAATAAGGTTAAATGAAACAAAATAGGAATAATTTACTTACAGATTATGAATGGTATAGTATAATGGAATTATACTATAGAGTAAATGCAGCAAACTGTTCCTAGAAGATTTTATAAAAGGTGCATATAAATTATGTTGAAAAAAGGAAAATAACAAATGTTAAAATGAATATAGAATAGACCTCCAGCCACAATAAATTTATTAAGGTTTACTCAGCCCTTAGGAGATATAAAACCACTAACTGTCTCATCTTCTGTTGACCTGGGTCACAAACATATTTGAGATCAGTAGCTCTGGGGGCACTATCAGTTCCAGTAATGGATTCATTATTTCCATCTATCTTGCAACAAATATTTATTAAACATGCCCTATGTGTAAAGTTCAGTGATGGACATTGGGAATACAGATGCCTAGAGAATTTCTGATCTGGTAGTATGCAGATAGATAGCCCAACTAATAAAATGTTGCATCTGATGATACCTTTGATAAAAATACAAAGAAACAAAAAACAAAGAATTATTGGAGAGAAAAGAAGTGGGAGGATTAGAACTAGCTGAGCTCACCAGGGAAGTCTTGTTAGAGAAGGCAGCATTTGACAAGGGATTTGAAGAATTAATTAGATTTTTAAAGGATTTTAGAAGGGTAAGGAGAGTGAATTTCAGGTATAGTAAATGCTTCTTGAATTACTATAAGAAAAAATAGTGCCTCTAGCATTAATATTAGAAAAAAAAGGTGCAGGGCCACCTGGGTGACTCAGTCAGTTAAGTGTTGGACTCTTGATTTCAGCTCAGGTCAGGATCTCATGGTTTCTGAATTCAAGCTCCACAGGAGGCTCTTTGTTGACAGCATAGAGCATACTTGGGATTCTCTGTCTCCCTCTGCCTCCTCTCTCTCTCTCTCTCTCTCTCTCTCTCTCTCTCTCTCTCTCTCTCAAAATAAATAAATACACATTTAAAAAGAAAAAGAGTGTAAAAAGAGTACATGAGAGGTCAACTTAGGAGTTTGGTTGTTTTTGTTTTTTGTTTGTTTGTTTAAGTTTATTTATTTTGAGAGAGACAGAGCGAGCATGGGTGAGCGGGGGAGGGGTAGAGAGAGGGGGAGAGACTGAATCCCAAGCAGGCTCCACACTGTCAATGCTGAGCCCTACGCAAGGCTTGAACTCACAAACTGCAAGATCATGACCTGAGTTGAAATCAAGAATTGGATGTTTAACTGAGCCACCCAGGAGCTCCAGGAATCTAGCCTTTTTTTAAAAAATAAAATAAGAAATGGGATGGCATTGAAGTGTTTTGAATAGGAGAATGTTATCTTCAAAATACAGCCTGTTTGTCCCCATGTCTATAACCCAGTGGGTGTCTCCAAGTATCTATATGGACAGGTGTGTAAAACCTCTAAATGATCTGTCTTTCCTTCGTTCTTTCATACTATGTGTGTATATATCATGGTATTGCACAAAATGATGGGATTTTAAAAGATGATGTCTATGATGCCCCACCTCATTTCAAAGGAACAATGCTCTGCGATGCCAACCATTTTGGAGAGGGCTTGCAAAACATAGGGAATTCTACTGTATCAAAAAATATAATGAATCCTTCAGGTTGAGATTGTAAACTCCTTTCTCAGATTTGTGTTGACACGGCATAGACTGACTATAAGAATACCATTAAAAATTATTTTGGTTCTGTGATTCTATGCAAAGTATATGCAATGTATTTTCAATGACTGCATGACATTAATGTTCTTTAGAGTGTAGCAAGTATGCATATACTGATAGTGAATACTGACAATTTAGTTTTAGTTAAGCATTTGTTAATGTATGCTAAGAGAAGCCTGCTGCCTACGGAAGCACGCTCTTCTATGAAGAGGCCCACAAGGCAAGCAAGTGATTTCCTTAGTCAACAGCAAGTGAAAATTTAAATCCTGCCAACAGCCTGGTGAGTGAACTTGGAGTTGGACACTCCCTAAATTGTGCCTTGAGATGACTGCAGTGCTAATTGGCAACTTGACTGCAACCTTGTGAAGGACCCTGAACTAGTCACCCAGCTAAGCACTACTTGGGTTTGTGACCAACATAAACTTTGAAATAATAAATGTTTGTGTTATAAGCCAGTAAGTTTGGAGTAATTTGTTAGACATTAGCAAATTACTAATATATTGCAAAAACTAAAGAAAAAAATCCAACGGAAATTAGCTTAAATTGCCATTTATTTCAAATAAAACAATTTTGTAATTAAATATGATTTGTTAAATTATTGAAGGGAAATGTATTTACATATGTTTTGTATCATCTAAAATAGTCTGTTAATTTTTAAATTAAAAATTTCTTTTATCTGAGAAAGAATCAATCTTTAATTATGCAAGTGATATAAAAGTGAGCATTAGTGGGGCGCCTGGGTGGCGCAGTCGGTTAAGCGTCCGACTTCAGCCAGGTCACGATCTCGCGGTCCGTGAGTTCGAGCCCCGCGTCGGGCTCTGGGCTGATGGCTCAGAGCCTGGAGCCTGTTTCCGATTCTGTGTCTCCCTCTCTCTCTGCCCCTCCCCCGTTCATGCTCTGTCTCTCTCTGTCCCAAAAATAAATAAACGTTGAAAAAAAATTAAAAAAAAATAAATAAAAGTGAGCATTAGAATTTGGAAAATCTCTAGCACATATAGTGATCTTTCTATTTTTGTTGTTGTGGTTGTTGTTGTTGTTATTGTTGTTGGAATGCAATACCTTTTCCAGGAAATCCTGCTCAAGATGCCTTTATACTATTGACCCTTTTTCTCACCTTATGATTCAGAACCAAGCCTTTCTCACTGGATCATTTTTCCCTGTAGATCATATCTCAACTTAGATTTGAGTTGCCTTCAGGTTCCACTGTCATGGGTCAGAAAGGCCAAAGAATTTAAATTATCAAAGGGAGGTCAGGAAGAATAGATCCTTGAAACCTAGGGACTCTCCAGCAGTCATCCCTGAGGACCATCTGCCAAAGAATTTAGAGCTCACTGTGGCAGCCTCTAACAGCTGAGAGAAAAGTGAGAAGGGGAAATACAAACTTTTGCGAGAAAAAAGAAATCAAAATAATAAAAAAGCTTGACAGAAGTGAAGAGCATCTGTGGTCCAATATGCAACATCACACCCCTGATATTTGAAGATAACTCAATCCTCAACAAGGCTGGGAAGCCAAATCCCAAATCTGAGAAGATAGGAAATGTGAAAAGCCATCTTTACTTCTGACCAACCACAGATGAGAAGATAAAAAGCCTCCAAAACTTGCCAATATGCAATTAAGTAAATTTCATCCCAATATTTTAGGAAGTTCCTCTTTATTTTTCTTCATTGCCAAACTCCTAGAAGATATGATTTATGCCAAATGCCTTCATTTTCTCACCATCTTTTCCCTCCATTTCTTTTGCAATCTGGTATCATGCTTAACATTACTGAAATGGATTCTCACTATCCTCAATGAAATTAAAGTTAAGCCTTTTATTCTCCCAAATATTACTTCAAATTTCTGTAGCTTTGTCTATGAAATTATCTCCTTCATCTTCAAACTTTACAGTTTTGTGTGATTTAAATTATCCTCCCCTATCTCCAGTTACTGTTATCTACTGTTCCTCCAGTTACTATTGTTACTTTACTTCAACCCAAACCCCAACTGCAGGTTATCTTTCATGGCTCAATCTGACCTTTTATTTTCTGCTGTCTCTTGACATTCAGGCCTCATATAAACCATGCTTTCCACACCATAAAGATACTGAAGATATTTTTACTTCTTGATTTAGCATTCAAGATTCTCCTTTCTTTAGTAGTTAAAGTAATTATGCCTCCAAACTTCTCCTCATATAACTCGATCCCACTTTCACAATTATCCCTTTCTCTGTGCTTTTGAAAAGTACCCCTTGTTTTTATATCACTTAATTTTATGATTTAAAATTAATCTTGGTTGTCTTTTTGTTTCACAAGTGCCTTCATTGACTCTTTTTTTCAGACAACACAATCAATCTACTGTAATTTGGTTGGTTCAAAACAAAGGACAGAAGATGAGAAAACTGAGAACCAGGAGTATAAAAAATTGTCCACCATGACACAAATATGTACTGGAAGAGCTAGAAGTATATTAGATCATCCAATCAAAGCCTCTTGATTGAGATTATGCTCAGAAACTGAGAAGAAAATTTTTACTGATCATTTATCTGAGTAGTTACTGCCAGTATATCTACTCTTTTTTTTTTTTTTTTTTTTTTTTTTTTTTTTAATTTTTTTTTTCAACGTTTATTTACTTTTTTGGGACAGAGAGAGAGCATGAACAGGGGAGGGGCAGAGAGAGAGGGAGACACAGAATCGGAAACAGGCTCCAGGCTCCGAGCCATCAGCCCAGAGCCTGACGCGGGGCTCGAACTCACTGACCGCAAGATCGTGACCTGGCTGAAGTCGGACGCTTAACCGACTGCGCCACCCAGGCGCCCCGCCAGTATATCTACTCTTATTTTAACTTCCTTTTGCATATTAGTCCACTACAATAAAAAATTTGCATGAGGTAAAGTGAAAAATGTTCCATGTATAGTTTTTAATTTCATCAAAAATTATATTTGCTATAAATAGCAATATCCAAGAGTCAGTAGGACAAGCAAATTACTTGACTATACTGTTTCAGCACTGATATGTTTTCATGTCTCTGACATAAACTTTCTTAAATGAAAATTTCAAAATTATCTTTTCATGTTATCTGTGAATTTGGAACAATTTTCTTTAGTAAGACTTTATATTTGTATAAAACTTTATACATTTCAAAGGACTTGAAAAAATGTACAAGTCAGATTTCATGTGATATTACTTCAGAAGAGATTCTTTGTTGTTTTCTAAATTGTGTCACTCCTTCCATTTTCTGTATCCTCTTTCTTATAAAGTATGTCACCACAGATTTCCCCTCACATTAATTAACAAACTACTTACATTAAGGTCTGGAATATTAGTAGCAGCATGGCATTTACCTAAGTGCACATTACCTATTCATCGCGTGCTTCCCTGACAGGGACAAATACTCTCTTGTATTACCAGTCCTTCCTTTTCTCTTTTAATAGATTTATCACTATATATGCATCCTTCCCTCTAACTTTCACATGCTTTTCATGTTTAAAATAATGTTGTGGAATCTGTTGTTGTTGAAACAGATTTGACCAACCCATTCGACTGAAGATTCCTGATACTACGATTCCAAGATATCTAAAGAAGGTAATGATAAAGATTTTAAAAATTGGGAAGGTATGTCAGTAGTAATAGATTTAAAGTGTTAATATGACTTATTCAGTTAATAAGGGAGGAAAAGAAAAGCATTTTATATAAAATTTATAGATATCTTGTAAAAATACTTACAGACCACATTGCTATGTTACTGAACATTGTAACGGTATACAAATGAAAGAAGATTTATATGTGATGTAGTCCACAAAAAATGAGGTGGTCTTAACCTAAGCAAAAAGTCTTTGTATGATGTATGCCTTTCAAAACTCTAAACCATCACTGCTCAGCTTTTATCCAGAAATTGCCCTTCCCTGTCCTACCAAAGACAGTTAATACAATCAGAAAAATAAATTTAAAACACATTATAAAATTTGTCACATAATAGAGTTCTATGCTATATTGTGTTTACAGATTGTGAAATGCAGATGTGTTCTGGGAATAAACTTAGGACCTTCTTGGGTCCTACAAGTGGTAATCCCTTATTCTTAGTCCAAAAGGGTGGGGATTTTAAAGAAAGGAAAAGTTTGTCCTCTTAGCCTTGACCTCTCTTTCCCCGCAAGATGAGTCACTTATCTCAGTTTCAAAGAATGAAGTGAGTAGATCTGGTTCAGCCTGCACCGTCATCTCTCTCTCTCTCTCTCTCTCTCTCTCTCTCTCTCTCTCTCTCTCCCTCCCTCCCTCCCTCCCTCTCCACAAAAGCACACATTCTGATCTACTTTGTGTTAATTGCATTGCAGTAGACCTACCTGGGTACAGAAAGGGGAAAGTTTGAGTTCCTCAGTTGAGACATGTCAGTAAGTATATATAACTCTAGAGGGAAGAATTAAGTATCCTAGTATGTTGCCATTGTAAGTAATGCTCCCGGTTCTCTAATCCAACTTTTATCAGTAATAAAGCTGAAATTAAGCCTCTATTTGTCTGGGACATTATTTGTTGATCCCTCAAACCTTCAAACTCCTTGTTATGTACAACCTCTCATCCCTTCCTTCAAATTCTTAAAAGCCATCCTTCTAACTCAGCTTTAGAATCTGTTTCATCGTATTTTAAGAGAACTTCCTCTCATAGCAACCCTTACATTCTCCCTTGAATTCAGGTTCTTCCTCCTCTTTGCCCATCGTTCTCTCACTACTCCTCATTTAAATGTTTATTCCCCATAACTACTTGACACTATTCTGCTGTCAAACTTTCGCTGTCACTCTGTTCTCTTAAACCACTCCTTCCTTAATCCACTGCCCTTTCTCTAATTGCCACAATTCCTGCAACTACACCATCAAATGTCACAAACAGTCTCATCATAAAACTATCTTTCTTCAGTTCCCCCTTTGTCTTGGCTTCTCTACTAATTTTAGTGCTGACACATACCCCTTTATTTCTTTCCTTTTCTCCATACGTTTCTCGGCTACTACCACTATTTCCATTTCTTTCTCCTTTTGTCCATTCTGCATTCATGTAGACATTCTCCCATGTTTAGTCTTTGGTCTTTTCAGTATTGTGTCAGATATGATTCTTCTTCATACTTAATACTTAAGTGCTGCTAACTCCAAGTATAAGATGGTACCTTTTCTTCTAAACTTCAATTTGAGTCTTCTTTCATCTTGTATGTGTCCATCACCTCAAAATCAACCTGATCCAAACTGAAATTTTCACTGCTTCCTTCAAAATCACCCACATCTTAATGTTTCTACTACCATTTTGTCATTGCCTCAGGATTAAAATCATAGCGACCTTTTCCTCTATTACCTTCTATTTGAGAGTGACCCGTCCCTTATATTTCTTACTTAGTATGTGTTACTCATAACTATGAAATCTTCTGCATTCCTATCAGCATCCTCCCAATCCAAGCCTTTCTCATTTTATGTCTGGACCACTGCAGCAGTTTTCAGCCTTGTGTCTCACCAACACAACATATTTATAATTGCCTGATACTGAAATTGATTATATCATGTCTGCACTAGTGTCTTATGATTTATAAATTCCTTTTTCTTATTCTGTAAGTCCATTAACTTAATTATTCGATAAATAATTAAGTATCACTTATTAATACCTGGACATTTATATACGCAATAAATGCTTACTGCAGGAATGAATGAATAAATGAATGAATAAAACTAATTTAACCCTCCCAGGTGTTGACATATACAACTTATCTGTCACTGAGATAAGGCAGGTATTATTATATTAGTGCATTTTACAGATGATAAAATTAGTTTTAGGGAAGTTAAATAGCAATGTTACAGACTACTAAGGGTCAGAATCTGGACTAGATCTCATTCTGTATGACAATGTTTTATATCTCTTTATACATAATATTTCTCATACTATATTTTGATATTTTAAGCAAAGTTGCATAGTATTACTACCGTATTCATGTAAGGGAATATAGGATACACACACACACACATGTTTGATTTCAAGATTCTTGGTTATTTGTTGGATTACAAATAACACCATTAATCACTCAACCTTT